CTCTGGCTATACACCAGCTTTGCCTACGCCTTTTTCCTTAAAACCGTAAAGAAGGACTGTTTAAATGCATGTTAAATGCCCAGCATTCGGCGCCCCTCGATGACGTAGTATACTTGAAATAGTGGCTCTGCAGCAGGTATACTCGACATTGAGAAACGGCCTCTGACTCATGGAAGTGTTCTACTTAATTATTAATTATCTCTAGGAAACGTTTGTCAAACTTGTCTTTCAGGTGCATGAAAATGATTTGTTTCTGTTTTCTATTTTGTCTGTTTTTAAATGAGACCTTCAGGGATACTTTTAGTGATTTTCTCTGTGTTAGAGAAGCTAACATGAAATCACACCACTTATCGTCAGTGCTGTAAGTGACCACACTCAAGCTAGGAAGTGATACCGCCACTAACACTTGAGCAGCAGATCCTGCTTGAGACATAAAGGTCAATACATGAATTGACTGCACAGTATCTGCTACACGGTTTAGTTTTGAATAATTAAGAAGTACGCTGCTATCTACAGACCCCACTACTACCCACAAGTATCATTTACATACAATAACCTTCCTTCCCAATAAGACGAAGCCTGTCGTTTTTGTCTTTCTCATTCTTAGGCTCCTGATGGCGCTGCAGGTCTTTGTCAAACTGGTTTCCCTATCAGCAGCCAGCATCAGCAGCTCAGAGTGACCTGCGGTAAGATGCACCCTAGTGGTTAAAATGCCAGTGTCATCCCTCAGTGACACAGTCTTGAGTTCCTGCTTTCAAAGTCTTGCGCAAAGTTTGTTTATAACATTTTCGTGTCATCCAGAGTATATTTACCTGGTGTGTTTGACTGTTAGTAGACACGACTTGGATCTGTGGCAACTATGTCTGTGTATTCCTCCCAAGGGAGTGCTTATGGAAATGCAGGTGTAAGAACAACATCGACAATAAGAGTGAAACAAATACAATTTTGTATACTTAAAAATAACAACAATAATAACAGTTCAAACACAAAGTAAATGAGTTCAAAGTGAATATAATTATAAACATTAATACATATATATACATCTAAAGTTGTTTTGAAGAGTGGTTAATGAGAAAGCTGTAAGCAGCATTACCACAAGCCCAGCTTTCAGCCCAATTCGAACAGCATATTGTTTTTGAAGTGAAGGCCAGAAAACACGTCTGCAATTTTTAAACTAATAAATTGCCATCTTTATTTTTTAGCTGCCACTTCCAGCAGTCAGCAGAGGCAGATGCTTCAGTCCAACAACTTCCTCAACATGTCGAAGCTGCATGCGGCAAACAGCCTCCCCTTCACTCCCTCCTCCTCCTGCTCCTCCTCTCCCCTCCTCAGAGGCCCCAACATGGCCCCACATCAACACACTGTGACATTTTCATCCTCTTCCTACCCCCAGGCCAGCTTACTGCAGCAGAGCATCTCTCTGACAGACACGGATATCTTGCAGTGAGATCAGAGGTTTTTACGAATGTGTCATGTTTGGTGTTCAGGAAAGGTCAATCAGACACTTCATCATTGAGACTTTTGTTGTAATTTTCTTACCTTTCCATCACAAAACAGAAGCCTGCACACTTCAATAACTCCTTTTTATTAGATGAAAATGTTTCAATTGATAGTGTATCTTCATCAGGTCAGACGTACAACTACCTTATACCCATATGTGCAGAAAAAAACAAGAGCATCTTATATGGATTACCTTTTTTAATCAGTTCAACATAACAACCAGTCATGTGTACAAGCTTATCCCTGTTTGATTTTAAAACCCATTTTAAAACCGTATGTAAAAAATATCCTATACACAGGAAATGCTTTCAAATGTGTATATATGTAAAAACCTTCAAAGTAAGTCATCTTGAGCTTTCCTGTACATGCTTAGTGCTTATTTATTTTAAAATGAAAGGTTTGTTGGATACATGTATAATGCAACATGAGTAATATATGATTTTGTTTATTTAAATGCATGTTACTGTCTTTTAAAAGTCTAGACCAGCGGTTCCCAACCTTTTTCAACTCAGGGCCCACTTAAGAATCTAAAAAAATGTTGCGGTCAACATTCAACCATAAACAATACGGAGGCTAAATGAAGTTCTGATTGGTCAATTCAGAACATGTGACACGTTGTTAATCCAGTAGTTCAGACCGCTGTGAAGGATTGTAATGACTGTTGCTAAGGAGGATCAAGAAAGAAAAAGAAAAGAGGTTAAAAAAAAGAAAGAAATTTTTCCACACAAATCATAATGTTTTGCAAATTAATTGGCGGCCCACTTGCAATGCCTTCGCGGACCACTAGGGGGCCGCGGCCCACAGGTTGGGAACCGCTGGTCTACAAGAAAGGGATTTCCAGTGTGATGGTAACTGTATTTTTTGCACTTTGTTTTGGAGTTGAAATGTGTAATACACAAAGAAATTGCCGGAAAAGTATTGCAAAGACTTGAGGCTGCTAATAAGAATACAATATTTTGTAGTTTGTCAAAAACAAACTGAAGATTGGCAATCACCAGATCAAAATGAGAAGCCTGTGTTCAGTAACATTAAAGGCAGCTAAAAGAAGCTCTGTGTTGAACTCTTATTTTGACAAAGCCACACTCCTCTTTAATATAACACATGTAGATAAGTTTGGAGTACAGCTACAGGTTTTTATCTTTGAACATCACTAAGATAACACAACAATACGTTGAAAGAGCTTTTTGGGTAATCATCCCCTCTCTTCCTATTGGTTGTAAAGCACTTTTGTACTTCAACTACATTGTAAAAGATGTAAGATAAAAGCCATGATTCTCATTGTGTGTGAGAGTGCTTCAGCTCAAGCAGTTGTTGGAAGACAAATGAAGCTCAGCGCAAGTTCAACCAGGAAGACCTTCTTTACTCATTCATTTACTATTTTATTACATTTAGCTGACACTTTTATCCAAAGCGACTTACAATAAGTGCATTCGACCAACAAGATACAAACTTGAAGAAAACAGAATCATATAAGTACACCAGGTTTCATAGAGCTAAAACATTTCAAGTGCTACTCAACTGGCTTTAGATAAGCCAGTCCCCTATTTCCATGTTACTACTCTCTCTCCTCTCAATAAGTGATCGGGGGCGTCACTCCCCAGCTTAACCAATCACGTCGCTCTACTTCGCTAACCCTTTTTAAATCTGCTCCCCCCTCTGACAGCTGTCATTTCAGGTGACTCTGATATAGTGATATTAAAAACTTGAAAAATATTCCTCTAAGGTAAATTTAGAACTGATAAAAAATGTGAGATTAACTATGGACGATCATTCGATTAATATCGATTAAATGTTTTAATCGATTGACAGCCCTAATTCTTACATCAAAACCGTCTCCTGATTGAAATTGATAACCATTAAACCCTAGGAAGACGATGAAGGATGAAAGTTAGCAATGTATTGAGACTTCAAAAACTCTCAATTGTAATATGATCCATGTTTTTGTTTTACAATTTCCATTTAAAGATATCTAGTTCGTCTGTCGAATCTTAAACAATAGCCTTAGCCCAAAGACTAATCGTTCCTTCTGAAGTCAAGACAAATCCAAAACAAAGGGGACTGACCATGTTTATCCTTATTTTTGTTATATATGTTTTTAAAG